TACAGGGTTATTCATAATTCCCTCCGCCTGTAAATGCCATTTTTCTTTACTACAACTGGCTTCAGTGGTACATGTTACTGCCATCTACCGGCAACTGCTTAAATTAAAACTTGAATACTTTCGGAATAATTTCATATGTTCTTTTTCGCCATATTCGTCTTCCTTTTTTTACTATAACGCTTCGAAACCCCGGAGGGAATTATGAATAACACTGTACTGTCCATATTTTTGTTGCTGAACGTAAAACTTGTTAGAAATGTAGGCTGTATTTAATGTAAGCCGTATGCTTTTTTAATATCTTCATAATTTGGCAGAAAAGGACAGTTTCTGATAGTTTACTTGTCACTACTCTCTGTTAATATGCAAGAGTAAATGAAAAAGTAAGGTGAATATGTGATGGAGAGAAAAACGTACAGAGATACAGTGATGAAACTTTATCATGTTTTAATCTTGGTATCACACTACTATTCTAAGAAGGAACCAAAGTAATCTAAACATTTATTCCAACGTGTCACCAATTCATCCATGCCCAGTTCAAAAAATTCTTGCTCCAGGTTCCATAACCAGAGGTAGGTGTAGCTTGTTGTGCCTCATGCAGTGCCTGGAAACGTGGTCCGCGGAGGTGATACTTCCAGGGGCCGAGCAAATGGCAATCCAAAGGGGTTAAATCAGGGCTGTACGAAGGATGGTCGGCTATCAAGTCATGAAAATTGAGCCTCCTAAGGTGTGTACAGGTAAGTGGGAATGTGCGTATACCTCTTCTTTAGCCCATTCGGGTTATCATTTGTTTAGTTCCCTGAACAATCACCTCCATGGGAAGTGTTATAGAATCTGGAGCAGGAATTTTTCGAACGGGATATGGATGAATTGGTGCTAAGTTGGAATAAATGTTTAGATTACTTAATTTCCATTTTCGAATAGTTGTGTAATACCATACTTCAAACCTTATACAGTTTCATCGCTGTATCTCCGTACGTTTTTCTCTCCATCACACATTCACTTTACTTTTCGATTCAGCTTTGGAAAATTATTAAATTAATATAAAAGTTATTAAACTAATCAATTTGAAGGCAGCGTACTAAATAAAATTGCAGTAAGTAGTTTATATAATTCCTATCTCTGTATAAGTGATTCATATTACTTATTCCCCTCCCTTACTCCCTTTAAGACAACTTTCAAATTTTCAGAGTAAAGCATGAAGATTTTTACTTCCAAAGAAAATTACAGTTTAAAAATATAAGTCGTCTGTACTACATATTTCATTTCTTATACACTAGTTTATATTGCAACATATTTTATTTTGCCTGTACCACATATTTTATTTCTTATACACTAGTTTGTATTACTACATATTTTATTTTGTCTGTACACATATTTTATTTCTTATACATTAGTTTGTATTACTACATATTTTATTTTGTCTGTACTACATATTTTATTTTTTATACACTAGTTTGCATTTTATAACTAATGGTTTGTTTAAGGATTAATTTCTAAAAAATTCTTACGAAGTTTATTAAGCCTAACAAGCTTTAAGTGAAATATTATTTTTCAAGATTTAGTCCCTTGTATGTCTGTCCCTACTGCCCCCTTTAAAATGGGTTTTAAATATTTTTCTTTCGTTTTTTATAATCAACTTAATAGTTAATATCTACAAATATGAGTAAAGTGAATTCCCAAAGTAAGTTTCACGACTGTATCGATTAATTTTAGTATTTATACTTCTTTTTTTTACATTACACACTTTGCCATGCTTTTGAAACAGACAATGTGACTGGTGCCAGCAGAGAGTCTTCGTGCCCTATAATCGCCTTTTTAAGGATACTATTGGCCAAGATTTGTTTTAAACATTTGACAGCGCTCTGCCTCTTAGAGTTTATTTTATCGTCGTTTTTTCTGGAAAGTGAAGAAATTTAGTGGATCAGCCAGTTTTCTAGATTTCATTCCTATAGAATATAAGCTCTTGCAGGACGCAATTGCAGGTAAGAAAGAGTAGTCAATTTAAACTCTTAGTCTCCTCATACAAGCACACAGCGTTACTGAAATAGGGCCATTTGTCCCAAGCCCATCTAAACTGTTTTATTTTCTACAGGTAACAGTGTAAAAACATTACTTTTCAGAAAATGAAGTAAGACTTAATCTCTTATTAACGATTTTTTTTTCTTTTTGAAATTATCTAACCACTGCTAATACTTTCCAACTCTTATGAGTGTTATGTACATTTATGCATAGCATCAATCATTGAATCATCCATATTACATACATATACGCAGGAGGCGTTAGTGACAAAAAATATTTGGGAGTTTCTCGACAAAACTTAGAGTTTACAACGATTACATGTCGAAAATAGGCAGTTCAAAACTTTTCACCACAATTGTTCCCACTTGTTCAGTAACCCTATGTTCTGGAACTAGATGATTTGTTTTAAATATTTTATAATCGGAGTTGAACAACCGACCTAAACCTGAGTTCACGAATATTTAATTCTATAGCCTTGCAATTTGGAACCAATCCAGAAGACATGGGTACTACTGAATCAAGCATTGGGACAAACTAACCTTCGTCAAGGACTTTTTTGATGGAGGAACTAAGCCGCATTTATGTCGCATGGAGAGGAAAACCACAAAAACCTCTCAAGGTTTGTCCTGACTGCGACGCCAGCAATGTGATCGGTGCGAGTTGAGAGGAGAATTTGTGTAAACTAGCTACAACTTGGTTTCGAACTTGATTTACCTCTAAAAAATGAGGACGCTCTACCTCCTGAGCCACCGCGGCTTTCAGAGAAGAGTTTTATTTCATGACCATCGTTGAATAGCCGACCCAATTTTATGGGTTTACAACTAATGTTCAACTCCGTAGCCCTGTAATTTTGAAGCCAATCCAGAAGACCAAGGGAACTCCTGGATCGAGTATTGGAAGAAATTTGCCTTCGTGGAGGACTTTTTGATGGAGCTAAACCACATTTGCGTTAAATGGAGAAGAAGACCACGAGAACCTCCAAACGGTAGCCTGACGGCAAAGGTACTCTAACTCATGATCCGTCACTGTGGTTGGCGCAAGTCGGATGCGGAATTCGCATCGACTGGGATTCGAACCCGGTTCGCCTCATTGGAGTGCGAATGCTCCCTCCCCTGAGCCATCGCGGCTCCTCGGAGAAGAATTGCAAATTTCAAGTTGCACTTCTCATTGGTTCTACAGCATGATTCATAAAGTTGGTGTCTGATATCCCGGATGGTCAATAGATTCGGCACATAATTTCACTTCCCAGAAAAATTCAGAATAATTTCAACTGATGATCCTTACGTCCTCATCTGGTGTCAACTTATATTCATCTTACAGTGCACGTTCTTGTCCATTAAAATAAAATCAAAATAACTGCACCTCTGAAAAACAAAGAAAGGGCTCCCATATATAAAACCATTTAACGTGTCCATTTTAAAGTAATGGAGGTCTGTGCGGCCATTCAAGAAGATTCCCAGAACATCAAATCTTCGCTATCATAATGGTTGATTTCTAAATGCTTCAGGAGCAAAGAGTAGGTCCTTAGTTTAAATGGTTAATGCGGATTGGTTATATGGATACAATGGATTGTTGCAAAGAAAATAAACATTTACCCGGTGTAGTTTAAACTATTAACTGGTTATATTAAAACTTTAATCAGTCATGCTTAACTTTTACTTTTTGCAACGAAGTATTTCCCAAGTGGTTGTGAAAAACTTATTGAAATGAAATTGTAGATAGAATTAAGTTTTTACAATTGCTATAGTGTACATGCATTTTCGTTTCTGTAACTTGCTCTTATATATAAGTATGTTTTATTTACAGAGGTAGTCAAAATCATACTAAATTAAATGTATTAATCCAAAAAAAAGGAAATTTAAAAATGAAATAGTGGGGAGAATCCGTAATTCCGTAATTGGTAGTAGCAAGGCATGAGAATGTCAAGAAGGTAAAGAGAGATATAAAATTGTACCCTGGAAGTACAATTAAATTTTTTTGACAAACTTCGTACAAGAAGTATATTTCTTTTATTCTTCTTTATCTACTTATTGTGAAAATGTATCATTTTATGATATCGCTCGAGCAATGTGCTCAGTATTAATTCTTTACTTTTATATTTACGATACAAGGACCTCAAGGTAACACCACAAGGATCCACCATCACAAGATAAGGGGATAAAGGGTCACACCGGCCTCAGGCACCCCTACCAACCGACTGGACTAGTAGCAAAGCTTAAACTCACAATAATGCTTTAACAACAAACTAGATAAATTATGTACCTGATGTTGCTTATACCATTCGCTGGATAACTAAAGGTATAATCCATGGAAGATATGATAAAGCTTAGCAATAAAGCCAATCCGCAAATGTGTCTCGGCATCACGAATACTCTATAGCTGAAATAAATAAGGATCAAAATTAATTTATATTTAGAAAATATGCACCAAAGTATTCACATATGTTCATTAAGATTAGTTCATATACAATGTGATTAAAAAATCTCGAAATAATGAAATGCTCATAGTTGCCACCTTTAATGTCTTAGCTTGGTAGGTTGCACTGGGGAACAAATTTTTTTGCTTTCGGTTGCATGGGATTTTTGAACGGATCTTAGATATTTTCGAGTCGTTGAATTCAAACCTACAATCTGTTTTTCTCTACAACATTTTTCATGCAATTTAATAATATATTCCAACCAGGAATTTTTAGTATTCTTTCAAATGAATGCTAAAAATGAATTC